TTCAAGATTCGTGTAAACACACTGTTTTTGTTTGCTGTCGAGGGCCAGGCTTTGCCCGCTGCCATGCAGAACCGTGCATACACGGTGCAAGAGGGAAATGTTGCAAGAGACTGCGTCCAGTTTGCTTTATGATATTTCACTGAAGAAAAAAAATACTTTAGGATTATTGCCTTGGAAACAGAGAAGCCCGGTGCCAACACGGAGCCGACTCTGCTCCAAGAATCTCGGTGAATGAGATAATAATCCCCCAAAGTGAGGCCTGCACTCTGCCGTTATTGTCTCGGTGACCACAAGCTATTTTCCCGGGAGCGTTCCACTGGGCTACGTGCTCAAACGACCACAGCCTCGCTGTAAAAAGACGACCCATGGGAGGATGATGCGTGCGGCCAATTTAAATGAGGGGGGGAAGCTTGTGCGCTGGTTTTCGGAGGCTTAGTAAGGTGCGTCAGAGTCGACAACACGGCACGGAAACACCTGATGAGAAGCACCTGTCAGTTCAGTGATAGCTTAAAGGGGAATTTCACCTAAATCCTCAGCAAACATATATATAGCAAGTGATGCACAGCTTGTTTCTTTTGGCCTGTTTTTGAGCCTCCATTGTGCAGGATTGGATGATATATCATAATGCGGAGAAATAAAACAAAAACTGTCTTTATAAGTGCACCCAGAGGTACATGAGAAGATATTGTTTTTATGGTGGACTGATCCTTTAACCACTCGAACTTGGGTTTCGCCTTTTATTTCCCCCACGGACGTTTTTAAGTTGTAAAAATGGGATTCAAAACTTTAGTGTATATGCTGGAGTATATATACAATATATTCTCTTACCAACCTGTTCCAGCTCTTTATTCAACCTCCACTGTACCATTGTGTTAAATGGGAACAGTCTTGATAAGTAAAGCATCTTTTTTTCCCCAACATAACTCTGGAAAACTTGTGGATTATTGGATTCTGGATTATTTCAGGAGAATATCCAGAGTTCAGAGCATGTGTGAAAGCAGCTTTGACATTGGATGTAGAGGTTTTAGGAGCAAATAATGGCTCAGGATTACTGCACAGGCAAATATTTGTAATCAAAAGCCACAAACATTAGAAATCAGCTATAATAAAAGGGAGAAACCCATCAAATCCCAGTATATAGGTCAGAGCATTCTCAACGTCCAACAAGCTGTCAAATGAAGAGCATGAACAGAATTACGACTGACACTCTCGCATGATTTTAAAAACTTAACAACTTGCATAGAAATTAAGTACCGGAAAATAAAGTCACGCGGGGACATTTTGAAAGCCGAAATATTTCAATACTAAAATTGAAACCAGCTGCTAATCGACTGCGGTTTGGCTTTTTATTTTTCCTGAGTGAGGACCTGCACGGCCGGACAATTTTTTCCAAGCTTGAAAAGCAATTATCACAACAACAGAAAGAAAACATTAAAAATAAGTTCAAATGTTAACTCGCAACGGGGTTAACCTGGTAATAAAGTGGGAGTGTGTGCGGCTCGCAGAGGAGCAGGAGCTGCAGAGGATCTCCTGATGGAAAACTCATAAAATAAGAGGGGAGATAACAATAACACAGGCTCTGGCTCTCTGGTGCCAGTCTATCTTTGCTTGTCTCTTGTCTCTGACACTAAAGCCTCTACTCTGGCTCTCCCTCGCTCAGACCTCATCGCCACCCCCTCTTTTTCCTCCCACCATCTCCCATCTAGCTCCTAAATTATCTGTCCGAGCTGTGGGAGATACCCCTTCCTGCCCGGGGTCGCTTGTCTTACCACAAGCTGGGGGGGGGGGGGGCTAGGTGTATGTGTGTGTGTGTGTGTGTGTGTGTACACGTGAGAACACTGCAAACTAAGCAGAAAGTCACATCCCTTCTCGCCTTCTCGTTTGATGTCCTTGGAGGAGGGAGGACCTGCGACCACTAAATGTCACTTTGGAGGGGCCGTTGACGGACGGCCAGCGGGAAGTGCGACGTGCCAAAGAGAAGGAGTGAGCTCTTTTCTTTTTGAAAGTTTCTTTCAGAGACAGGGCGACACGGCACCACGGTGAAGTCTGGAAAACAATGGAAATGTGCGTCTCTGCATGTGGATGTGTTTGAGGGTTTGTTGATGCTAAGTCACGTGTAAGAACAAATCATTCTGTAGCTGGGATCCATTATTACAGCAGAGGAAACGGAGCCAAGATCAACCCTCCGCTCTGCCTCTCTCTCCCTCTCTCCCTCTCTCTCTCCAACTCCCTGTGTTTTACAAGTGAAAGTAGTGGAACATTATTTTCCATTTTTTTCCTAAGCCGGACACACTCGGCCATATTTTATGGTCCCTTCACAGTCAGAGCGGTGCAGAGGAGAGCGATGAGGAAAACCTCTGGGATGCGGTCATCAGGCAAAGACCCCGCGTACAATCACAGCAACACCTGATCGTTCCCCACTTCACATTCAACCCTGCTGCGGTCGAGTGACTGGAAAGCTTGGAAACTTCAGGTCACAGCTTCTGACGGATCGCTCTGATTGAAATCCCTCCCTCCCGTCCTAAAAAAAACGGCGAACGACTCCGCGTTTGATCACGTCTGATTCTCCCGAAGGAGAAAGAGAGGCGAGTCTCGGCTGAGAATTACATTGTCAGTCCAAACATGTGCGCTTAAAGACAGAGGAACGACCCCTCCCAAATGAGGCGTGACAATCAAAGTCACAGAACGAGAGAAATGCGTCTCTGTTGTGAAAATAAATGCAAAAACTCCGCAGAGCAGAAACGACTTCAGTTAATATTCTGACCCGAGGTCCTGCATCGACATTACACGAGGCAGAAAAGGGGCGAAAAGGAAAAAGGAAAAAAGTTTGGGGACAGTCAACCTCAGAGGTGAAAGAGTTTCTCCTTTAATACTCATGTAAGTTCCCGTTATAAACATAACTTAGCGGCAAACCGAGTTTAAGAATAGAGAGTGTAAATAAATTTGAGTTTCAACCTGTTTAGAGAAGCAGCAGGGTGGAGTCACCACAACTGGACAATTCAGTTTGCCACAAAAGAGAAAAGCATGAGTGCAACAAAGTTAAAAAGATCTCAAGGTAATTTACAGGATTTCTACTTTAGTTTCCTTTTTCTAAATCTAACAAATCTGCAGTCAAAGTCACTCCGCTCTACAGCCGGGAATCAAACCTCAGAACTTTGTTTCAATTCATTTTCTAAAACTTTATACTATTTTATCATCCTGATAGAATCCCGTCTTTTTAAAACTTTTAAAACTTTGGCCTCTATTGAAATTCATATTTTTAAAACCCCACTTTGATGAGTCATTTGATGTTTAACAAGACAAACAACATTTCTCATGATTGAATCAAATCTCAGCATGTTTTTCTTATTATCAGAATTATTAAAAACTATTGATTCAAATTCAAATATTATTGTTGAGCGTTGCTTTACTTGAACGGATCTCGAGTTGAAAACATTGGGAAGCAAACTTACATTCTCAGTCGACTAAAACTCCAAAACTCTCAGAAGCAAAAGCATCAAACCAGGAAACAGAAGAATCCAGAGATGAGAGGAAACACGAGAGTGAGCAGCTCAGTGAACACAGGTGAACCACATGAGGGCGGAGCTTACAATCACAGGGCTGCGTTCAGCTCAGACGACACAAAAAGTTTTTTTAAACCTGAACAGCATTGAACAGAACTGTATTAACTTTGCAGCTGAGAAGGTCTTTGTCGGGTTTAATACTTCTGTTAAACTTTTTTACTACTTTAATAACTTCACTTGATGCAAACTCCGAACAGCAGCTTCATGAAGAACTTTAGAATCTTCACCACTGATTGGACGACACCTCGGACACACAAACCAGAATCTAGAGCCGGACGACTGAACGTGACCCAGGACAGAGACAGGAAGTGAAAGGACTTTCAAAATAAAACAGGAAATATTAAGCTCCAATGACCATTTCACATAGCAGACTTTTCAAAATAAATCAAAAGTCACTAAACTTTTTGAGAAATTCAAAATGCAAACAAGTGAAATACAAGTTTCAGAGTCCATCCCATAGAAACACAAATCCAGCTCCAAAAAAGACTAAAGGTCTGAAACATTTCCTGAAAAATCTCACAACAGCAGCAGAATTATTTTTCATCTTTTTTATAGGAAGAGAATGACAAAATATTTGACAAATCATATTATATAAAATTATATGATAGATATTTTTATTGCCCATCCCTATTTCTGCCTATTAATGACGCTGTCAACCTTTGACACCCCGTTAAACTCTAACCTCATGGATTCAAAGTCAGTGAAAAACAAAAGCAGACTATGAAACAAAAACAAGAGACGCCAATATTTAACTTTGCATTGGTGAAGAATGAAGTGGAGGATATTGACTGAGCAGCGTCTCCATTGGTAAGATATTGAAAGTGACTGCTGAATTGTGGGATTTCACAGCGTCTGTGGCTTGTGGCCAAAAAAAGAAAGTCAGTGTTGCTCTTTCATTACTATGACGCTTGGCTGAACTTTATAGAACTTGACACAGCAGAACAATACGACCCCGCTTGTGACCCCGCAGCCACGAGTTTGACGAACGTGCCAGTCGTTGCTTTTTCTGATGAGAACCACGTCGGAGGCGGTGAATTCGTTATCATTGTAAACAGTTAAAAGTTTTACAGGCTTCAAACAACGTTTGAAAAGCACAGCGTCCAATGATCTGAATTCACAGAAATATAATCATGATAATCTAAATGGAACTGGATTTCAAACTTCCCTGCACTCGACAAGGAATCTGAACTTGTGGTCAGTGTGTCAATTTGTATGTGTGTGTGTGTGTTTGTTTTTGTGTGTGTGTGTGTGTNTAGGGCTTCAAAATCTAGAAACAAAAACGACACTAATATACTAGGGCTTCAAAATCTACAAACAACAATCCAGGAACAAAAACAACAAAATCTAGAAACAGATTAGGGATAATGATTTGTAGATGAGCTTCATCATTGTCCCTGAAGTTTAAACAATTCAACCATCTCAGACGAAACTAACGAGACAGAAAACTTCAGACTGACGATGTTTCCTCTAATGTCTCTGACCTCCAGGTGCTGGAGCCGCGCTTCAACGTGGAAGCTCTCGCTCTCCTGCTCAACATCCCCCCCAACAAAACCCTGCTGAGACGCCACCTGGCCACGCACTTCCACCTGCTCATCGGCTCAGAGGCTCAGCGGCTCAAACAAGACTGTCTGGAAAACCCCGACTACAGCGTCCTCACTGCCACGGCCAAGGTCAAGGTAAAGGCCCAAATCCCCGTCTTTGATCAATAAATGGATTATTGCTTTTTCTGAAACCACACGGACACGTCCCTCTCTCTGTCTGTCTCACTCTCAGCCTCGACGACTGTCATTCGGTGGGTTTGGAACTCTGCGAAGGAAACGTCAGGACGATAACGAGGAGTACGTCTGCCCCATGAACGTCGAAATGCCCAAAAGCAGCAGCTTCCAGACGGGGGTCCGGATCTACGAGGACACCCTCGACCACTTGGAACAGGTAGAGATCAACACTTCTGCTTCTGTCCTCTGTTTGACTTCTCCTTGACATGTCTCTTTGTGCCGTGACAGATGGAAGACTCTGAGGGGACCGTCCGGCAGATCGGAGCGTTTTCTGAGGGAATCAACAATCTGACGGTGAGAGTCTGAGCTGCTGCAGCGTGTTGGCTGAAGACTGATGTACTGACCTGAGGTCTGTGTTTCAGAACATGCTGAAGGGCGACGAGTTCTTCCAGGAAGTGTCCGCCTGTCATCCGGACGTCGACGCAGCAGAGACACTCGACAACATGTGAAGCTTTGGTGGAAAAGAACAATCTGTGCCATCGTCGTCCTCAAACCTCCGAGTTAAAGATCACCTGAGACGTTTCATCTTTACAGTGATGTTCAGTGACAGTCTCTGTGGTCAGTGATATTTATTGAAGCTGTTATAATGCATGAACTTCAAATTCAAGGTTTGCATTAATGTACCTGCATTTATTTGTATTACTCAAGTAGTCGGTGAGATAAACATACTTTCAAATGTTCGTCTCGTTTTTAAGAGATCTCACTCAGTCACAAGTCAAATTCTAATTTTGTGGTTAACTTTTTTAAAGTTAATTCAAAAGGCATCAAACTGTTTAATGTTCAGATTTGTCTTGGCTCTTTTTAAAGAATTTAAGTGTCGGCAGACGCGTTTTAAAATAGTTGTTTCCACCTGTATCATCCATTTAAACAAATCTGAACTCAAACAGTTTGTGGTCGGACTCCACCACAGAAAATGTTTAACGTTGTGAGAAACTTGTGTATTTGCTTTCTCACCAGGAACTAGATTAGAAGATGAAAATCACTCAGCTCTGTGTCTAAAAACAGGAAAAACTGCCGATTCGTCACCTAAAGCTCACTTTGAATATTGTTCACTACAAAACGTTCCAGCTCGTGACGTCACTATGATCATTTGTTTTACTTCAGATTGAACAAACAGGATGTTTAGCTTCAGATTTAGCGGATGTGAGTGATATTCATCTTCTAATCAACAAAGATCTTAACATGCGTGATGAAACTGTTCAAAACCAAAGTCTTTGTTTCTGAAATCAACCAAATGTTTTCTTCTGTTTTTCAATTTTTGTTAATAAAAACAAAAAATATATTTTCTGTCTTAACATCGTCAATAGAGGAGCTATAATCGGTACTACTTAACATCCCACAATGCATTGTTTTCATCTTTGTTTACAGTCTATGGTACCATGATGCATTGCGGTCGCTCTAAATTAAAGACGTGACCAGAAATATCCTGACGTTTTAGCAAAAACTAAAAAAACTAGTTTGACTCACGTGGGAGAAACATTTGTGTCAGACTTCTGCCTTAAGCCTAGTTAATGCTTCTGCGTCGGTACGCCGTCGACGCGGACCCCTACGCCGTAGCCTGACGCGCGCCTCCAAAAAATCCTAACTACGCACCACGTTGACGCGGACCTCAAGCGCTGTGATTGGTCCGCTCAGAACTTAAGTTCCGGCAGTTGCGTTTCCGGTCTTTCTTCCTCGTCATAAAAACCGCCTGCGCTTCAACATTTGCAATATAAGCATTTGTTCTTCAATATTGATGAGCTCCAACAACAAATACAGCTGCTCCACCTCGGTCTCCATTGTTTACTGTTGTTTACTTTACGGAGGAAAAAGCGAGGATTCGGCTATAACCACACAAACACACAGCCACACCCCCTAGCAGCATGGCGGTGAATTGCAGAGCAACGCGTTCCTTCGACGGCGTAGGTACGGCGTCGACGTGACGCAGATGCATAAACTAGGCTTTAGTCTGCTACATGGAACTCCTCCTACAGCCGCTCAACCTACGAATCACAGTCGAGAGATCGTAATAAAAAAATCCAAACATCCATCATTCAAGAGTAACTGGATTTTATGTTGCATATTCAAACACAAGCAGCAAAGACGTCGCATCACTAACATCAACAAGTCGGCCGGAGCCGAATAAACAGCACAAGTAAACAGCAGGAGAAACTCTGCGACGCTGGGAGAACGAACGAATCCGTAGAAATGAAGCACGATTATTTTCAGTGTGCATAAAAAAAGCTTTTGTAAGTTAAGGCACTAAAGCCAGAAAAACCTCCTCTGACACCGAGGCCGCAGCGCGACAGTGGTTCGTTAGCAACAGATTTTAAATCACATCCTCATTTCATCACAAGCTGAAAATATCTCACTTTGGTTTTCCATCTGAAAATGCACGACTCCACATACACATCTTAAATCTGCACTCACATATACATCCTCCCTCTCAGTACACGTCCCCCCCCCAGGTCTTGGTCCGTGCTGTGATTCTGTTGCATGATATATTTCACGGCATAAATATTGTTTACATAGTGCAAATACCCAACTACACGAGTGCTCAATGCTTTTTGGAGTAGAGATAATTATTTCGAAGTGCCATCGATTTCCAAACCTCGGCGTCTAGAAGGTGAACCTGCGATCTTCGGCGTGGCCGACTTTGTCCAGGTTGGGGTTGCAGGCGAACTGGATCATGGGAGGAGGTCCGCACATGAGAACGAGGGCGTCGTCTCCGGGAGGAGGGAGGTGTTCTCTGACCATGTCCTCGCTGATGAAGCCTTGACTGTACTCCCAGTCTGAAGCAGAGAAAAACACCAGAGCTCAACAGATACTCAGAATCAATATTTATCACAATTTACTTTATATCATATTAACGTTAAACTTTCCGTCGATGTCACGTCCAAAATCATTTCAACTCATCGAACAGTGTACACTACTGACACCTACTGGTGAGGAGGGTGATGTACAGTAACCTAACTACTAAAAGTAAGTGATATATAAAATATCTACACCAGACTACACTATGAATTAAATAACATGAAGTAATCAATCACATCACTAGTAATAACTCTGAAAGTGATCCTGCATTAATGTGGGGTTTGATTAACCGGCTGAATAATAAATAATAAAAATAATCTGCTGAGAAATCAATGAAAATAATAATTAAATTAAACTAATACAACAACTCTTCATTATCAGTAATGATTCAACAGAGAGAGAGAACAGGTCTTTGTTTCTAAAGTCTCCTGTTCCTCCAGGTTCAGCTATAATTCATGTCCATCAGTACAACATGTGTCGTCAGCACTAATATTAACGATATTAAAAGTGAACTCACTCTCCGGGGCCTTGTCCACAGTGAACCACAGCTTGAATCGATCCGGGTTGTTGACCTGAATCTCCTCCAGCTCCGGCCGCAGCAGGATGTCTTTCTCCGTCTGAGAGGACAGACGAAAAAAAAAACCTGGTTTAACTCATCTGCAATCAATAATCAAAACTGCTGCAAACCACCGAAGAAGAACGAAACACTGGACTAAAGGAAGAACTTTACAGTGACGTCCATCAGATGAATTTCCCAATTATTTGATTTAT